GCACCAGTGCGCGCCGTCGTGTAAGACCCCAACGCAGGGTGGCTTTTACCAGCGGCAGGAACGAAGCCTGCTCAGGCCGACACACGGACCCGACAGCGCAGGCGCGGAAGGAAAGGCTGTTTTCTGATCTGCCCATTCTTAATACGTAAAATCCCCTCTTGCCAGGGCTTAGTGCAGCAAGGCCACAGTGTGTCAGCAGGTCACCTGCCACATGTTTTATGGTGGATTTCATGTATTGAAATCGCAGCAGGGACTGAACCTGCATAAAATAAATCTTAATCCACCCTTCTTTGGAAAGGGACTGAGATAAGATCAAGAACTAGAGACAGAAAAACCCCACATTGGGCAATTAAGTCTGTAGAAAAGAACATTCATGTAGAAGTCGGGCTCTCAGCTGTCTCGTTCCAGGGACTTGCACCACCGCAAGTGAAACCACCTGACTTAGAATAGTGTTTTCCTCTCTCTGTTCATGGCACTGAACACTAAGTGCAACAAAAGAACCTTAGTTTTTATAGATACTCTGCCAGTTCACCGAGAGCCACCTCCCCGCGACACCACGATGACAGCTGGCCGGAGACAAAGTTGTTTCTGCGTGAACAGGTCTCTACAGAGGTATCATTTTTTGCCAACTTCCCTTGCAGCTTTAACTGCAAACTTAGCGTACCAAGTACGAGTGGTTGTTTCTTTCAAATAAATCTAAAGAAAATAGAGGAGTTTTGTACAGGACTGCCTACTCAAGAGTACAGCCTTATTTTGGAAGAACAATGAAGTTTAAAACCAGGCAATGAATTTTTTGTTTTTCATTAAACAGTTACTGAGCAGAAAAGAGAGACTGAGTAGTTTATTTGGCATTGTTGCAGGCCACAGTATAACTGGAGGAATTTGGATTATGTCGGCCAAAGCACCCAGTCTTCGGTGCAGCTTTACACCACAACCGCGATGGGCCACGCACGCTCAGCGACAGCATCAGCTTAGTCATCGTCTTTAAGCTTCTTGATCTTGTACTTGTGACGCTCAATTTCTTTCTGCAGCCGCTCGATCTCCTTCTTGTGGTGATCGATCTCTTCCTCATGGTGTTTCCGCAGGGCAGCGAGCTGCTCCCTCTCCTTCTCCCTGCAAGAGAGCGCGGCGCGGGGCTCGGCGGGGCCCAGCACCAGGCCGCCCGGCCGGGCCCC